GGGGGGTGCAAAAACCTGAACTTTATTCATTTATCATCACAGCAAGGCCAGGCAGGAAGGCACATGCACAAGCAGGAGCAGAAGCTGACTCCGACCCCCCCTCCCTGCAGCTCTTTTTAGTACCTTCTTCGTCCCTCCTCCTCAGCCCGCCCATAGTGACTCGTCGAGGATCAAATATCAAAAAAGGGATGTCCAGCTAGTGTCCAGACAAAGAGAGCATACGTGGCACCGGAAGTGGGTCCCAGAGATTTGGAAGGAGGTGTGAGGGATTAGTGCATAGACAACAGAGAGTACACGTGACGCAGGAAGTCGGGTCCAGATACTGGGGGGAGGTGTCTGGGGTCGGTGCTACACCTAGGGAGCATACGTGACTCAGGAAGTCAGGTCCAGATACCGGGGGGAGGTGTCTGGGGTCGGCGTAGTACGTAAAGAAGGAGGCTAGACAGAGAGAGTTTGCTCTCTGCCGTACCCCTCCAAGCGGCACAGTACTTGCCTAGGGAACGCGCTCTCCGGCCACTTCCCTGTACCCCGCTTCCTCCCCAGCCTGTCACAGCTCCATCCAGCACTGCTCCAGTCTCGGGAGCATGAGCTCCAGTTACCTCTCTGAACCCAGATCTCATCCCAGTACGTTACAACTCCGCCCAGCACCGCCTCTGCCTTGGGAGCAAGAGCTCCAGTTACTTTCTGGTACCCAGTTTCCATCCCACGTTGTCACAACCCCCATCTGGCAGTAGCTGGCATCAAACAGTCCCTCACAGGCTGGTATAAATATTTTTGCACATGTGGGTCCTTTTCCAGTTTTTATGATCTCTTTGGGATACAGACCTAGAAGTAGTATTGCTGGGTCAAAGGGTATACACAATTTTATAGCCTTTTGGGCATACTTCCAAATTGCTCTCCAAAATGGTTGGATCATTTCACAACTCCACCAGCAATACATTAGTGTTCCAATTTTCCCACATCTTCTCCAGCATTTATCACTGTCCTGTTTTGTCATGTTAGCCAATCTGATAGGTGTGATGTGGTACCTCAAAGTCATTTTGATTTGCGTTTCTCTAATCAATAGTGATTTAGAACATTTTTTCATATGACTATAGATAGCTTTAGTTTCTTCCTCTGAAAACTGCCTGTTCATATCCTTTGACCATTTATCTTTTGGTGAATGACTTGTATTCTTATAAATTTGACTCAGTTCTCTATATATTTTAGAAATGAGGCCTTTATCAGAGACACTGGTTGTAAGCATTCTTTCTCAGTTTTCTGCTTCCCTCCTAATCTTGGATGCATTGGTTTTGTTTGTGCAAGGCCTTTTCAATTTAATGTAATTAAAATTATCCATTTTGCATTTCATAATGTTTTCTGTCTCTTATTTGGTCACACATTCTTCCCTCCTCCATAGATCTGATAGATCTCTTGGATTCTCTAAATATACCATCATATCCTCTGCAAAGAGTGATAGCTTTGTTTCTTCTTTGTCTATTCTAATTCCTTCAATTTCTTTTCTTCTCTAATTGCTACAGCTAACATTGCTGGTGCAATATTGAATAACAGTGGTGAAAATGGACATGTTTGCTCATTTTATCAGCCTATTTCTTGACTTAACTTTATGTTACTCCTGGGATGAAGGGTGCACCATTTCAAGTTCATGCTTTTTTTGCTGCGGCTCTCAGAGGCTAGTTCTGGGGGACTGTGTGTTTTAAATTCTTCCAAGGTAGTATGATCAAAGGATAGGTGTGGTCACAGCTTTCCTTGCTTTTGCTCTGGTCTGTGAGAGACCACACACACTACCTTCCACCCCAGAACTCTGATGTGGTTTCCAACTCCCTTTTGGTTACAAGCTCTGAAGTGCTAGTGCTCCTCCTTGTCCCAGGAATATGACCCAAGACTAAACTGGATATGTTTATGGGAAATGGAACATAGTCCTGCACCTAGTGCCAGCAAAGGGACTCCTTTAATCTACTTCTGGCCAGTTAGTTGTTAAAACACCTTACTATTTGTGGGCTGAGAGCTTCAGAAGCCCTTGCAGCTGCAGCTGATTCAATTTCTCCCAAGACCTGCTGTTGGTTGGCTGGGATGAGGCCTGCACTGTACTGGTCTGTGCTCCACTCTCACCTAGATGTGACAGACCTTTCCTGCCAACCTCCTAAGTTATCTTTGGCTGGAAAATTATTCCATCTAGTCCTTTTGTGGGTTCAGTCACTACAGAATTTCTTTTGAGGCATTATTTAAAGTTTCTTGGAGTGGAAATTGGGAGAGCTCAGAAGGGTCCCTGCCTTTCTCCACCACCTTGGCTCCACCCCTCCTCAATTTTCTTATCTGAAAAATATAGAGGGAGGTAGACTAGGTAATCTCTGAGTAAATCTTCTAGCTAGAAATCCTGGAATCTCGAGTGTGTCAATTTAAATTTCTTTTGTCACAATGTTCTGTCTCTCTCTGCCTACCTCCCTCTTCCCTTCCATTCAGGTTTAAAAACAGAAAGATTTTTCAAATCCTAAGAGGATTGGGGAGGGGGAAATGAACTGGAGGAGGGTGAAGAGGGATTTGGATGTGAAGTAAGAGGGGAAAGGTTGGGAGCGGATGGGGAGAAGTGAAACTTGCAGCAGAACTGGAGTCAGAGTGATTGAGGTTAAAGTCATAGAAATTCATAACTGAAGAAGACAAGGAAAAGACACATTATCTATGGGTAATAAATATGTAATGGATAGATTCTACTGAACTCCTTCATCCATGCCTAGTAAATAAGATTCCTCTATTGTGTTGGACCACAAAACCTCTGAGATTGGCCTCTGAGGGCGCTTTCAACTTTTCATCTTTGATCTCATAATGCAGCTGTATTCTGATGACTGTGGTGTACCACTCTCTCTCTCCTTCCTTCCTTCCTTCCTTCCTTCCTTCCTTCCTTCCTTCCTTCC